TTTCACATTAAAGTCCGTGTTTCAGCAGTTCTGGGACCACTGAGCACGCGAGTTTCTGGGCAGTAGCAGGCCAACTCACCATGTGTTTTTCAGGACTTCCCTCAACTACTCACCAAATATGCAAAACTAGAATGAATCTTCTGCTAGAACATGGAATCATACGCCGCCATATGTTTTGTCTTTTGTGCAAATAGTGACGAGTGGAGCAAGGCCCTTAGGGCCACTGCTCGTAGGAAAATGCAACAAAAGAAAGAGAGAAATGAATCTTCTGCTAGAACATGGAACCATACACCGCCATATGTTTTGTCTTTTGCACAAGTAGTGAAGAGTGGAGCAAGGCCCTTAGGGCCTCCGCTCGTAGGAAAACGAGACAAAAGAAAAGAGAGAGCTATGGTAGCAAGTAGTTGTAACTTGTGACCCATAACTGCTGGAAAGCAGTCATGACTTCTGATCCATAACATATATTGCTGGCCTGCTCCGCTCTCACATGAAATTCGCCGAACATTTCTTGAGATATTGGACACTTGCAGATGCACTGCTGGGGTCCTTCGGGGGTTCAATAAGGAATACGTGGGCTCAAATTTTTTTTTTTTTACTCCTCTATCATCCTCCTCCTTTCTTCTTGTTTTCTTCCTCCTCGTCTCCTCCCCCTCTTCCTCCTCATTTTTGGGTTATTTATTTTTTATTTGGTCAACTTCCCCATTAATGCGTGTCATCTTGGCATAGGGGCCATGCTAATCTTGCCCTTGGGACATTCATTAACATTGGAAGGACAAGATTAGCATGGCCCCTGCACATGGATGACACACTTTAACTAAGAAGTAGGAGGAGTAGAGGCAGTTTTTTTTTTTTTTTTTTTTTTCCCGAACAATATAGGGGATCCGGACCAGGATCAGGACCGGTCCGGAAATTCCGGAATATTCCGGTTTTCGGAAAGTCTAGATGGGCCCAGAAGGTCCGGGGTCCGTGGTCCGGAATCGGTCCGGGGTCCGGTCCGGCGTAGCTATGACTTCGGCGCCAATGAGAGTTTGAGGTCCATTGGCGGAGATGACTCCTGTGATGATGGGGTCCATCCGGTAGACAAAGATGACATTATAGCTAGGTTACCAGTTGTCCGATGGCAGGACGTCCAGGGCGGACAGTCAAGGGGGTCCCGGACAACTCTATTTTTAGCAATTAAAAGCACGAAAAAAAAAGGGTTTTTAATTTATTTTATTTTATTTTAAATTTGCCAGTGAATTTCAATATGATCCCTAGCAAAAGTTGTTCAGTTAATTTTTCTGTATAACTGTACTATAACATAGTTTTTTTTCAGATTTTTTTTAGGTTTTTTTTTTTTTTTTTCGGGCTCGGATAAACTTCCCGGGAACGACGTCCTACCGGTTGTCCGAGCGGACAACCCCGGACGGTCTGGGGGGGCCCGAACGTCCGATCTGGTAACCTAGAATTATAGTTAGCTCTAAAGTTTTAAAGGAGGGTTTAGAGGTAAAGATCTTTATGTAAGTCTTGCCTATTTCCATTAGGGTTAAAGAATCTCGTCATCGAAGATTTGAAGGACTTGCGAAAAGAAATAAGAAACGATAAAAAGAGGAATCACAAAGGAAGATCCAATTATGAGTAGAATCAGGCTTGCTAAGATCCTCATTGGATTCATGGGGAAACATTGAATGAGAAGGGGGTTGAGTGAGAAAGCAAGGATAGGCGCAGGAAAAGAGAAAAAGGAATAAGCACAAGTTTCTCAGGAAGTCTTTCAATAAAGGACGTATCCATTGAATACTGCAAAGAAAGGAAAGGCATTCAAAGGGAACATATTAATTTTTTTTAAGTTTGTTGATTGGATAATCGTATTTGCAGGAGAGTTTCTTCATGCCATCCCCCCCTCTCCCCTCTTTTTTTTTTTTTTTG